GCCCGTGGCATCGCCAAACACATGCTACTACTGAACTCTCGCTACCACGATGTTGTCTTAAGCTAAACAACGTTGATTCCTAGCCTTGCAGTGTTGTTGAACTTGCTAGCAACTACGTGGAACTTGTAAAACCCTGGTACGGTCTTACTAGGTGCACATATGGCCCTCGATGTTGTTTTCCACCAAACAACATCGTTTCAAGTATCGCGGCGTTGTTGGATCTTTGTGACACCACCGATCATGTTAGTCTTATCTCACAATGTTGTTCTCCACAAAACAACATCGTTTTCTACCACCGCGACATCGTTAAGACTACAATTTCTCGTGACATCGTTTTCACTAAACAATATCGTTTCTTGTTTTTATCTCGTGACACTTTTTTAACTAAAATATGTGGCCTCTTGGTATCATGGACGACTTTGAATTCGCGATGTTGTTTAAACTTGGACTTGGCCGGCCGCTCCTGGCTAAGCTCCTACCCTGTGCTATTGTTTTTAACTAAATGTTATCGCTCAGCAATACCGCGATGTTGTTGCTACCTCACGCGGTATCATTTTCAACTAAACGATACCGTCCAAAATAATTATTGAAAATATCAATTGAACTGGCCATCCTAAAAACTCGGCCATCATGAAGTTGTTTTTGAATTAAACCATGTCACTCTTGATTCCGTGACCAAGACTCACCGGTTTGGCCTGTCTAAACGACTTTGTTGCCTAGTATCGCGACATTTTTTTAATATTAAATGACTTCGTCTCCAGTCTCATGGTGTTGTTGGGATTAGGACAATGTCGTCGCCCTCCACGACATTGTTTGTTACTAAACGACGTCATTTCTCTCCTCTTGCAACATTGTCGCATTTGAGTTACGACCTTGGCCGAATCTTCTCCTTCTCCTGTAAGGAATACAAAGCACTCATTTCCCAACACCCAACACCGACATTGCAAATCCTCACGATATTGCTTTCTATTAAAAAATGGCGTTTCAACTACCGCGGCATTGTTTGGCTCTTTCCAGCTTCACGGTGTTGTTTTACCTCTCCACAATGTTGCTTTACTACAAACGACGCTGTTTTTTATCATGCGGCATCGAATTAAACGCCGAGACTATGCGGCATTTAATTCACTCTAAAATAATTTTAGGTGTCAAAAAATGCCCCCTCCCCAATTTAGTCGAAGCCATAGAACCTTCGTTTTTAAGGTGAAGATGTAGGACCTCATGTTGTGTTTGTCCCCACCTAAAAGGCCTTTTCCCCATGTCCAAGACAATTTCCAGTCAGTAGAACCCGTGTATAAGGCCTTCGGACAATCTAGTAATGACAACCATCCCGTGAACTCTAGCATTTAGAGGTTGCCGCCATGGTGGAGAGATGATAAGGCAGAGTGTTGATGATTGTGCACATTTTCTGCACCAAATAGTCCTGACCTCACTGGTCAAGTGAGTGAGTGATTTATTCCTTTTTTGTATGTCATATCATATCCCGGTGAGGACCTTTGTTGACCATTCGTTTATTCATTGGACTTGAATGTTATGCATGGTTAGTTGTTGTTGATGATTGATCTTGTTGAGACTTGCATTGATTCATGAACAAGGTGAGAACATTTTGTTTGCCCGTTTTTGGTGGTCTCGAATGTCGTTTGTGGTGGATGTCGGTATCGCTTGCAACGGTCCATGTGTTAATTGCCAATAGCCATTCAGATTCCCCACTTTGTGCCCTTTAAGTCATCCCCGAGGTATTTTGTTTAGGTTGAGATATTACCTCGTGTGAAATGGTTTGCTTGGGGACAAGCAAACGTCTAAGGTGGGGGAGTGATTCGGGCCTAAATGTACAATTTTTATCGTCGTTTCTCTTTGGCGTTTGTGGCATTTGAGCTCCAAAAACGGTGGTTTTACGCTAGGTTTGTTGTGTTTCAGAGTCTAATAGGTGGAACCAACCCCGGAGTCGAAAGTTGGAAGAAAAGGTGCGAGGATCGGGCGAAGAGGAGGAAGCAGCCGCTGTTTACAGTCATCAGGACCTTGAACTGGCGCCACAAACTAACTGAAGAGGGTCCAGAGAGTTTTCAGAGGTTACTGACGTCGAGTCAATTTACGGTCGTAGGACCGTGAACTGAAGCCATGGATCGTGAACTCGATAATTGAAGCGTTGTGTTTTGGCTATGTTCACGGTCCATGTCAGATGTTCACGGTCGTGAACTTGGCACAATCAGTCTATAAAAGGAGAGCTGAAAGGAGGAAGAAAGAGAGCACAATGTGAGAGAAACCTTCTTCTTCCTGAAAACCTAGAGAGAGAAAGCCACGAACCAAGATAGAAAAGAGGCTAGGGTTTTCTCCAAGTCATGATTTGGGAAGCTTCTCTTTAATAGAGGATCTCTACAAGTACAAGGAAGGATTGAGGCATCACAATGATGGTTTTTTCCCCCTTTTTCCTTTGTCTAGCATGAAGCAGTCTCCCTTTTCACTTGGAGGTTGTAGAATCCTAACTTCTACCATGCAGTTTTGTGTGGATTGAATGATTGTGTGTGGGTGGTGTTTAATTTAAGGTTTGAGGTATTCTCATGGTGATTGTGCATTGTGTGTGCTTGGCAATCTATTGTGTTATTCTAACCTAGCTTAGAGGGAAACCCCCTTATTTTAAGAGGCTCAAATTGAGCTGGGTTTTCTTGGACATTCCATGACTCCTATCTAGGTTAATGTACGACAAACCTCTTAACTCGAATTGAACACCTAGGTTAATTGTGATTAAGCCGTCTAAACCCCGACTTGAGGGAGAATGTACGTCAACCCTCAATTGCTTGAGCCAAGAGGGCTACAATTGTATCCTATAATGCATTCCTTGGCCTAGCGATTGAGAGTGTGGTTTCCAACCACGGTTGCTCCTCCTAACGGTTCTTAATCTCCTTGTTGCACACCGATTCATTCGATCCCACTATTCATGGTAGTTAGTTAGGTCGAAACAACTCCCGAGTGAAGCTTTTCTCACCAAGAATTTCAATCCTTTTACTTTTTAAGTCTTGCATTTTTAAACGTAGAGTGTAGAGATTTTCACAAACTTGATTCCATTAGATAATGTTTCAAATAATCGAAGTAGGGGTACATGGGCCGGCCCGGGTTGATATTTAAACATACTTGCCCTATATTGCACCCATTTAAGGTTTATACTTGGGCCTTAGGTGGGATTTAAGTGTGATATTCGGGACAATTCACCTCTTCTTTGAAACAAAGTTTCCTTCTTCAACCAAAACTTATTCTCATCACCCTTCTGAACGTAGTAAAGGAAATGGAGAAATCTAGTCAAACTTATTTGACCACAAGCTAAATGCATGGTGATTTTGCTATGCAATTTTTCTCGGGCACACTATCCTAAACCCCAACGTTGCTTATCCAAAACAGTGTCGATTTTAGGATTACTATAAACAACCATGTTTACCCTTCTCGCAGCATGGCAGATCAACGACCTTAGTTTTATTTTTCTTTTTTTATCCTTAATTAAAACCAACAGGTTTGGCTTTTATGCTTTTTTTACACGGCCGTGTGATCCCAACTACATCGTTGCTAAGAAAGAAAAACAATATCATCACACCGCCTTGCAACTCGACTTTGGCCGAAAACATCTGCGTTTGACCCTTTTTATAAAAAAAAAACACCATCTTCCCAACTGTTTGGAATCATTTCTTCGCCTGCAACATTGCGGCAAACCCCCTGATTTTTTTTTTCGAAACTTTCCTTGCATAACAACGTTGCATGGCAAAGTGAGATGCAACATTGTTTTCCCTCCAACACCGTTGTATTTTCTCTTTCACCAACTTGCAGTGTTGTTGTGGCCTTTTTTTTTATATCAAACAATTGTGTTTATAATTGCCGCATTCTACACTATTCTCCACTAAACGACAACGTTTTGTTTTTCTTATATGTATATATGGTGACTTCTATCATACACCAGACATATATTGGGGTATGTCGTACACAAGTAATCTCAACCGTCCACGTCCATCTAAATGGCCAACATTAATGCGGGTTCTTTTTTTTTAGTGGGATTGAAAAATTAAATTACCTCATTTATGGCGTTCGTTGAGATGGAAGCAGACGGTGGATATTGCTGGTGTACGACATACACCAATATATGTCTGGTGTCCATGAAAACAAATCAACTCATCGCCATCCTCCTTGTTGGATTAGGCAAAACTCACTATTTAGTCAGGAAAGGAAAAACCATTTGGTATTATGCCACACCGGCTGGGATCATGTTTCCCGTGCTGCTGGCCTTAAAGCCATTAAGAAATTCTTCTTTTTTTATTAGTCACTAAAGTTGGCAAAATAGCATATTTGTTGGACGCTTCACCAAGCTCGTACTACTCAACCATGTTGTGCAAACTTGGTGGCCTCGTCCACATCTTTTTTGCACGTGGTTGAACATCACTATTGATACTAATGACCAGCTCCATCCCATAGGGACGGCACATATGGCTTTAAATATTTGTCATTTATCAAACGCTCATGCATCACTCCATCTAAGTCTTTCAGCAAGTATGCTCTATTAGGGCGCACAGATTATACCACAAATGGTCCACGCCAATTCGGCCACCATTTTCTAAACTTTGAATTTTTTCCCCAATCGATAAGTGAGCTTTCCAAACCAACTTGCCCTCTTCGAATGATTTGTGCCGAACTTTTTTATTGTTGGCACTGGCCACCTTTGCTTTCTGTACTTGAACATTATCAAGGGCCCGGAGTTGTAGTTCATCGAGATTGCAAAGCTCGAGCATCATTGATTCATGATACTCCTGAGGTGTTAACTCATGTTGTTTCATATACAGGAGCGAGTTGACAGTCATCATTGATTCACTATCGTACTGCTTCGTGGTGACATCCTCTATGCCCACAATGCTTCTGATAATACTTCATGCTATCGTTGCAGATTATCCGCAATCATTTTGTCAAAATATTTTTCAAGACCTTGTTGGATGCTTCCTCTTGCCCGTTAGCTTGTGCATAATACGACGTGGAATGGATAATCTTTATCCCTCGCTCCTCCGCGTACTCCATAACTTGCCCCCCAGTAAAAATAGTTCCCTGGTCAACCGTTATTGTTGTCGGCAAACAAAATTGGTGGATAATGTGTTCTTGCATGAAAGAAATCACTTCGTCTTGGTTCGCCACCTTCAACGATTTGGCTTCCACCCACTTGGTGAAGTAGTCAGTAGCCAAAATTATAAAAATGTGTCTCTTTGATGATGGTGGGTAAATCATACCAATCAAATCCATTGCCCATCCATAAAACGGCTTCGGTTTGATTATGGATTTCGAATCAACCGCCGACGCTCTTTGAACAGGGTCGTGGCGTTGTCAAACTTCATAGCCCTTGGCATACGCAACACAATCTGGCCAATGGTGGGCCAATAAAATCCGTGGCGATGTAAAATCCATCGCATGGAAGGACCAGCTTGGTGGCTCCGCATATTCTCTCATGCACCTTTGCCATGGCTTTGCAATGATTCCTTGCCCCCAAGCATATAACCCATCGGGTCTGCGTTTATACAAGGTTCCATCCAAACTACATAACTCCTTGCTCTAAATTTGACCACATGGTCAGCCATCTTGTTTGGATCTTGCAAGTAAGCCAACAGTGGTGCCCGCCAGTCAATGACGTCTTTCTCTATTATGCAAACCTGCTCAACTCTCAAACGCTCTCGTAAGGGCTTGAGAGTTTGCACCACTATCTTCTCTACTGCATTGATTTTAGCAAGCTCCTTAAATCCTGAAGCCATTTGTGCAAGATAGTAGGCCTCGTTGTTGTCCACTTGAGGAACGAAGTTGATCGCCATATTGTCGAAATGGGCAGTCAACGTTAACACATGGTCTAGATATGTATCTAGAACACTATTGATACAAAGAAAATCCTCGCGGACTTGGTGGACCACCTCGGTCGTTCCTTCAAAGAGTTTGCCTAAACGCCTATCAACACGAGACTCAAGAGAATTGTGATGCTGTCATACCTCATTTATGAGACTATCAAACATCTGGCGATTATCCTCCATAAAATGGCGGATTGAAAAATCCTCAGTCAGCCCAGCTGTGGATGGCAGGGTTTCAAACCCGTCGATGTCTTTAGCGTCAATTGCTTGGCCACCCTCAATGCTGGCCACCTGTTCCTCCACAAAGTCGGGCAGAACATCCCCTCCTGATTCCTTCGTCGCAAAGAAATTCGAACACACGGGTCCCACCGAGTGTGCCAATTTTTTTCGCTGTGGATACTCGCGTGTTTCATGATCTCTATTCTCAAGGAAAAAAAGAACACAAGATCAAATATCAAACAATCGTTAATCAGTCGACACCTCTCCAAACAATGTTCAAACGAGGGTGTTCGACGAATAACAAGGAACCGAATAAGGATTTCTAACTTACGTTACGTCTACTTCTATGGAGGTTCCTCTGGAGAGCTCTGTGACTACGCTACGAACTACTACAACTCTACAAAGGAGTTCTTCGACAGAGAAGTTCTACGAAACTAGAGAGAAAAAGGTACGTCTGCGATGGTGCAGTTTTTGATTTGATTTTGCCATCCCGAGCTTCTCTTTCTTCCGGATGTTTATACCCCAATATTTTTCCCGTAGCCGCAGTAACCGCATTCGCGTCTATGTCTCCCACGTTCTCCAATTCTCAATTGTGCAAGTAAACCTCCACCTTGTTGCGTGATACTCACGTGCACAAGAAACCGCTCTCGCTACACAGAAACTTGGCCAAATGACATTGAGCCAAAATCCATAGTTCTCTACCACGGTTCGGTCCTCCAAACAACCTTGTCTACAAAATAAACAATGACATTTTTCTTGCCTACACAACGTTGCTTCATAGTATTGCGGCATTCTTTTGACTTGCAGCTTTGCTCATTCGTCAAACCAAAGTGGTTTGAAATTGCAACGTGTTAGCAACGTTGTTAGGGCCAACTTAGCTTAGGAAAAACAACATTGTTTCTTACCTAATCAAACTTGCAACGTCATTCACTCATTGAGCTAGCAACTTCGTCGAGTCATGACATGACCACACCCGGTTATTCCACGACCTTAATGAGTTTCTCAGATTAGTTGAAGTTGTAGAAATCGCGACATTGTTTTGACAAAATAACGTAATTTCACAAAATCTCAAGCTCGTCGAGCCCATGGCATTGCCAAACACATGCTACTTCTGAACTCTCACTCTCGCGACGTTGTCTGAAACTAAACAATGTTGATTCCTAGCCTGGTAGTGTTGTTGAATTTGCTAGCAACTCCGCTAAACTTGTAAAACCCTGGTACGGTCTTACTAGGCGCTCATATGACCCGATGTTGTTTTCTACCAAACAACATCGTTTCAAGTATCACGCCGTCGTTGGATCTTTGTGACGCCAGTGGTCAGGTGAGGCTTGTCTCACAATGTTGTTCTTCACAAAACAACATCGTTTTCTACCACCGCGACATCGTTAACGCTTTACTTTCTCGCGACATCATTTTCACTAAACACTATCGTTTCTTGTTTTTATCTCGCGATATTGTTGGTATCATGGCCGACTTTGAATTCGCGATGTTGTTTTAAACTTGGACTTGGCCGGCCGACCCTGGCGAAGCTCCTATCCACTGCGATATTGTTTCTAACTAAATGGTATCGCTTAGCAATACCGCGTCATTGTTGCTACCTCACGTGGTGTCATTTTCAACTAAACGATACCGTCCAAAATAATTATTGAAAATATAAATTAACCTAGCCATCCTGAAAACTTGGCCATCACAAAGTTGTTTTTGAATTAAACCCTGTCACTCTTGGTTTCGTGACCAAGACTCACCCGTTTGGTGTATCTAAACGACTTTGTTTGTCAGTATCACGACATTGTTTTAATATTAAACGACCTCGTCTCCAGTCTCATGGTGTTGTTGGGATTACGACAATGTCGTCGCCCTCCGTGACATTGATTTTCACTAAACGGTGTTGTTTCTCTCCTCTTGCAACACTGTCGAGGTCGTAGTTGAGATACGACCTTGGAAGAATCTTTTCCTTCTGCGGTAAGGAATACAAAGCACTCTTTTTCCAACCCCAACACAGACATTGCAAATCCTCACGACCTTGCTTTCTATTAAACAATGTTGTTTCAATTACCACGACATTGTTTGGCTCTCTCAAGCTTCGCGGTGCCATTTTACCTCTGCCGCCTGCCGCAAAGTGTCTGGACATCCGAAATCCCGCAATTGCAAAGTGGAAGGCCATAATTCAAATCAATAAATTGGTATAATTGTGAGTCTATGACTTGGGAGTTCGGAAGTGAAGAGGAAAGGAGCACTCAAGCAGAGGCAGGCATTTTTTTTGCTTTGTTAAGCAACAAAACGACAAAAAGGGGGATTTCTTCCTTGGCCTTGTCCCTTGTGCAATGTTGCTGCGCCTGCGACCTTACAATACAAACAGAAAACGGACTCGCTCTGGTTCAACTATTCAAGCAAAAAAAGAGACATTGTTAGGGACTCGTCGAGAATGAACAAACAAATCATTAAATCAAGTAATCAACATTAATTTAACTCAAATCGACGGAGAGGAGATGGCGAAGTACAAATTACTGTTTGCTGGGTTCAGGCTGTGGTCGAGCAAATAAGCTCCGGCGGCGACGGGGTTCGACGAAAACACGGCAACGACGAAGGGGGTCGACGTACGGAATCAGAGCAACGACGAAGCGTGGTTGACAAAAACAGAGCTTGGGTCGGGTCTCTTGGGTAGAGCTTGCACCGGCGACAGAGACGACGAAGATCCTGCCGATCGGCGGCGTTTGGATTTGATGAACGGAGGGATCGGCGACGTGACAGGTCGTGCTCGTGCAGCAGGCAAGTGACATGCAATAGGGATTTAGTTTTCTGGGTTAATTACTTGGGGAGGTAGGGTCAGTAGGGTCGTAGGGTTGAGGGGGGCTTTCCCAGTCGGTGTCGGAAATACCGAATGGCCGAAGGTAATTTACCGTCCCAACCTCGGTATACCGTTTGGCAATTTTTAGTAGCCGACTACCGTTTAGAACGATTAACGGTTTAACCGGTAACTGCGGTTACCGGTACGGCTACCGGTTAAACCATTAACCGCAATACCGTTTACCACCCCTAGTCTCTCCCCACTAAGTCTAACCCTATCTCCCATTTACCATCTACACATACCAAATTCTCTCTCTCTCCCTCTCTCTCTCTCTCCCTCTCTCTCTCCCTCCCTAGTCAAAGCCCAATGCAATTGTGATTTCTCTTCCCATCTCTGTACTCGGATTTGTGACTCGCACGGAACTACACCACAATTAAACCCCAATTAAAACCCAAGTTTTTAAGCTCTAATCGGGTGCAGTATAGGGCAAGTATTTATATATCGACCCGGGCCGGTCCGTCTACCCCTACTTTGGTTGTTGAAATCATTATCTAGAGATAAAACTTTGGTTTAAAGGTTTCCAATTGAAATGAAAGAAAGCAAAGGTACTTTGGTTTGAAAACTCTTTTGTGGGAAAGTCACTTGGGTTTCGCTTCCCCCTAACTGCTACCATGCTACGTGGGTTGGAACGATTGCCTTGGGCACGTTAATCGTGAACCGCATAGGAAAGCATATGTGGTCGGAGACCACAGTCTCGATTGCTAAACCGAGGTGAGGATGAAAGGTCGTGTCACTTGACCCTCCCGGTTTAGACAATTGGTAATCGGCTTCCTCCCTTACTCAACTCTAAGGTCGGACGGTAAAACCACGATTAATCGACTTGTTCAATTCAATATTTAGGGTTTCCTTAGCTCAACCTATTTTAGGTGGCTTGGAAAGCGGAAGGAAAACCAACTTGATTGAGTCTCCCTTAAAAAGGGGGATTTTCCTCTCTAAGCTAGGCTACGTTGGCAAATTAGATTACTATCACCTAAATGCACAAACTTAGGGGTGGTAAGCACAATTATGCACAATCCCTAGGATGCTAAGCACAACATATGCACAATCGTAAGTTGCAAAGCACAAGCATGCAAAATCATGGTGAATAATGCCTCAAACATTAAATTGAACAATACCCAATATCAATCATCCAACCCACATATAAGAAAACTACATGTTAGAGTTAGGGTTTCAATACACCCAGATGAAAGGAGGACTACTCCATGGAAGAAGTGGGAAGAACAAAAGGGAAAAAGGTGGAAACCATCGTTTGGGGATGTCTCCTCTCTTCTTCAACCTTCAACTGGGATTTCCTTGTGAAAATCTTTCCAAAACCTCCTTTGAAGCAAAGCCCTAACCTCTTCTTCTCTTTGGTTATGTTTCTCTCACTAAAATGCAGAAGAAGGTGTTTCTCTCACAAAAGTGGATCCCCCCTCTCTCCTCCTTGCAGCTCAGCTTTTAAACCCGAGAAGAGCTGAGTTCACGGTCGTGAACCATCAAACGTGTTCGTGAACTCACGCCTTGCGCTAAAACGCTCTGCATCGATCACGATAGTTCACGGGAAACTGCTTGTGTTCACGGTCTTAGTGACCGTGAACTCGCCTTGGTTCAGTAACCTTCAACTTGGCTCTGGACGCCTTGCGCTTCATGGTCAACTCCCCTTCTTCACGGTCTTGCATGACCGTGAACTCCTGCCTTTAGCCGTGAACTTGCGCTTTTTCACCTCTTCTCCTGGTTTTCGATCCTTTTCGCCAATCCTTCGACTCCGAGGCTGGTTCCACCTGTTACATCCTGAAAAGCACTCAAACACGAAGAACCTCGCGTAAAACCAACCTTTAATGAGTGAATTTGGCACAGAGATCTAAGCAAATCGGGGGGAAAATATGTGCAATTAGGCCCGAATCACTCCCCCACACTTAGACATTTGCTTGTCCCCAAGAAAACCATTTCACGCACACGGTAATATTTTGACCTACACAAATGCTTTGGGGACAACTCAAAGGACATGAAGCGGGAATTCTCGATGTTCATTGACAATCAACACATGACTTGTTGCAAGCAATACCGACATCCACCATAAACGACATTCAAAGCCACCAAAACGGGCAAACGAAAAGTTTTCAAGTTATTCATGGATAAATGCAAGTCTTAACAAAACCACTTATCGACCACAACCAACCATGCATGGAATTCAAGTCCGAGGAACAAATGGAAAGGAAACAAAGGTCCTCACCAGGGTATGATATGACATGCAAAGCAAGAATGAATCGCTCACTCTCAAGACTAGTGGGGTCGGGACCTATTTGGTGCAAAAGATATGCACAATC